AAACTGTTAGGGACATTAGGTCTTTCATGGGTCTGGCATCTTACTATAGAAAGTTTACCAGAAACTTCTTTACGGTGGCCACTCCCCTAACTCCCCTAATGTTCCTTTCAGATGGACACCCGCATGCCAATTGGCTTTCTCCAGATTGAAGAAAACCTTAACCCAAACACTTGTGCTTCTTGACCCTACCTTGCCATTTGTGTTGACCACAGATGCAAGTCAGTATGGTGTGGGACTGTCCTTTAGCAAGATGATGGGTCTGGCCTCAAGCCTGTGGAGTTCATGAGTAAGAAAATCAAGGCACAAAAAGTTCAGGCATCTACTTATGAGAAATAATTGTTTGCCCTTGTGTGTGCCCTCAAACAATAAAAACACTTCTTATTGGGAAAACACTTCAAGGTTTACTCTGACCATTCGACCTTGCAGTGGATGAAGACCCATGGGGAGTTGAATGACAAGTTGGCGAGGTATATTCAGTTCATGGATTCCTTTGAGTTTGAACTGAAACACAAAAAGGGATGCTATAATAGAGTAGTTGATGCTCTTTCTCGCGGGCCTGATACCTTTGCTGCTATTGTTTATACTTACTCATTTGGAGACTCCACACGCCAGGCTATTGCTGATGTGTTGCCCCAGGACCTTGTCCTTGGCCCTATTATTAGGAATTTGCAGGTGGATCCCAATTCTGAGTCAGGCTATGCCTTGACTTCAGATCTCCTATACACCATCAGTGAAGGAGAACAACGCTTGTGCATTCCTAATAATCACAAGATCATACCTCATCTGATTTCAGAGAGTCATGATGCTCGAGGTCATTTTGGGTTTCTAAAGACTTATGCTGCCCTGACCCAACGTTTTTATTGGTAAAGGATGAAGGAGAATATTCTCAAGTACTTAGAGACTTGCGAGTTATGCCAAAGGAACGAGGTCCACAGACGACCACCTATGGGGCTACTCAAACGATTGCCTATTCCAGATGGCCCAGGTGAGTCAGTGTCCATTGACTTTACTGATTTGGGCAAGACCACCCCTCGTGGCACGAGGCAGGTAATGGTATGTGTTGATCGTTTCTCTAAGTTTGTTGAGTTTATTCCTTCACCTGCTGAGGCCAGAGTTCCTCTGGTGAGAGAGCTGTTTGTTGAGAGGTGCGTTAATGTCCATTGGTGCCCAACCTCTATTGTCAGTGACAGAGTCGTTCTGTAAAGACTACCTCCATTCGAGGCTAGACATGACTTCTGGCAGGCATCCTGAAGCCAATGGACAAGCTGAAGTGATGAACCATGTCTTGTTCCAGCTGCTGCGTCCTGTGATCACACCTGATCAATAGGACTGGGACAAACATCTGTCAAGGGCTCAACTTATGTATACTACTTTCGTTCACAGCACTACAGGTTTTACACCCTATAGGCTTCACTTTGCCAGGGACCGAAGACAACCTCTTGACGATCTCATTGACAAAACTAAGCCTAAACTAACTCCTGGGACTGCAGATTTCACCAAGAGTTATGAGAAACACCTAGAGAAAGCCAGAACAAACATGTTCAAGGCTCAGAAAAGGATGATAGAGCAGGCTAATAAGCATCGTTCTCCCTCTCCTATTCGGCCTGGTCACTGGGTCTGGGTGAAAAGGTCAGAGTTAACTGATGAACAAGATATATCACGAAAGTTGTTGCCTGTATACTATGGCCCATGGCAGGTACTTGATACTGTGGGGGCAGATCCTTTTGGGCCTTCTTATGTACTTGCTGTACCCCCACATATCAGGACCTATCCTATCTTCCATGCCTCCAAACTGCTGCCTTTCACTCCTGCTGACGCGTTTCCTGATCAGCCACGGCCGTCCGGACCTCCTATCCTTGGAAAGGGATATGAAGTCGAGAGCATTGAAGATCAATGGGGCATTGGCCCAGACTGTGAATATCTTGTCAAGTTCCTCTTCCAACCTCATACTGAGGATCATTGGTTTACAAGAAAGGAACTTCTCAAGTCTGCCAATTCAGTCGTGCGGTTCTACGAGGCTGAACAAACTGGGAAACTGCTCAGGCGGTCTCCTCGTGGACACTCCTAGCTCGGGGTCCTCGCTCCCCGGGACGGTAGGAATGCAATGAATTGCAGTGCTACAAGCGGGATGTACACTAATTTTGTCTCTGTCGTCATTGGCGGGACTTGATCCCGCAACCTTTGTCTGCTGTGTTGCCCTGCTTGTTTGCTGTTTGCATGTTTTGAGACTTGCAGGACTTGATCCCGTGACCTGTAACCTGTATTTTTGTTTGTGAATGTTGTGCCCTATGGGACTTGATCCCTGTTTGGTAGTCCTAGGCCATTCGGCCTTTTCCTTTTGCCTTGTCATAGGTCTAGGCCTCCTTTTCCCGTGTTTCCATCTAGATACAGATAGGTTTTGGGTTGTTGCTTTGGGGAGGCTGTCGTAGGTCTAGCGGAGTGTAGAAGTAGTGGGCAGGAAAAACAGTTCGGGTCTTTTTTCGTTGTTTTTGCTTGGGAAACTCTGCCCGTTCGTGGCCGAAGCGTTGCTGCGTTATTTTGGGCAAGGACATCTTCTTCCTCGAAGCCAGCCATAGCTGGGGCTTGGGCACGAAGATGGAGATTGCACTGCTGCTATTTAGCAGCTCTGCACGAGAGCTTCCGCAGGACTGTGCTGTTGGGTTTGGGTGCTGCCTATCTTCACTTGGCAGCCATATCTGCTGTTCCTCCTCATGAGGAACTTCACTTTTTTTTTTCTCTTCTTCGAAGTGCTGGATCGGTTGTCACCTTCTTCATCAGGACTTCCAGCGCTGCACTTCAGTGCAGGCGCTGAGCTGGCTCTGCTATCATTGGGGTTGCTGGTTCAGATTGGCACGTTGTGACAGCTGTGAGGTTACTGCTGCTACGGCAGCCATAGCCAGGGGTATGAGGTCGCGAGGAGGTAGAAGAAGACTCCTGCAGACTTCGTTGAACACTTGTTTTTGGTTGTTCGGGGTTGTTGTAAACGCGGTTGTGATTCTTGGAACAAGTACTTTGGATTGATTGGAGGAGGACGGGGGATTACAGAATTGAAATTCGTTTTTCAATTCTCTGTGTATTTTTGAGCTTCCGCTGTGCATATCCTCTCTCCGGTTTTGTGTTGATTTGCCTCCTCCTGGTCTACTCTGTAATTGCATGGGTGTATGGGAACGTGTGAATTCGTTGTGGATGGAAGTTCAATCGGGTACATTCATCAGTACTCAACACCCCATTCCTTTTGTATCATACGGCCAGACGTAGAACTTTCTGGTAAGTACTCAACAGTTGACAATAGAGATCCGATAGGATAAGGCTGGTAGGAACAGTAGAAGTCCCTAGTAGTTATAGGGACTCGGGAGTCACCACGTGCAGTCAATCGCAGCTCAGCCCCTGGAAGGACCCTACAACAGGTCGAATCTTTGTCGGCCTTGGCAGGGTCTGGCAGAGAGGGCCAAGCAGATACACAAGAGGGAGGTCAGCACCAGGAACCTCTTCTACTTCCATTCTGGCTTATGCAGAAGTGCTGCCGCATTACGGTGCTCCAAGATCTTGGGCGTGTGAGCAGTGCCTGGTGAGGAACTGGTCAACAGCGCTGGGCGCCATAGCTGTAGTTGAGGGCAGTAATAGTGAGAGCAGAGAGGACATTCAGAGAAAGGTTGCGACACCTGTTGTGAAGTCGTAGATAACACACACACACACACACACACACACACACACACAC